TGGTAACCTACCTTATGACAGAGTTTAGTTACAGAGGTATATCAAATTCAAGTTTACAAATAACAATACAGTACTGAAAAAAATTGTATAATTAAATTTATAGTTGAATACTTTCATGAAGTTATCGTTTGGGCTTCATAGTCGCACTTCAAGGATGACATTAATGTCATAAATAATTTAATTTCTTTATCAAATTCCTTCCAAGTGGAAAAAAATATGTTCACAGTCAGGAAGTGTCACTACACCAGTGTTTAAATTTATATTGTAGTACTGTAAACATAACTAGTCATTTATAATGTATTAATTGTATCTTAGACTTGAACAAAGATTACATTTCTCAATGTAATTTACAATACTTTATTGCAAATAAACATTAATTGTTTTTAAAAACTAGTTTTGTTAGCCTTTAAAGTTTAACTAGCACTTATGATGTAAGTCATAGTAACTAATTTTCTCATTTAATTACTTGCTCATTTCTACGCAAATACACACAGAAAAATAAACTAATGATTTAATTAAGCAGTGAACAATGCTAAACCCTGAACAAAGTTACGATAGATCAATAAGTTCATTTAATTATATATTTTCAACACTGTAAACAACTTAAGAACTGAATACATGATTACATAAGTGTTACTAGGTTTTTAAAATAAGTTCCATTTTTATAAAAATAGAAAATAAATTGCCGTTATGTTTGAAAGCATATTTTAATAGAACTCAGTTCATATAGACGAAATGTTAATATGTAATATTTACGGAATAAAATTACCAACATACTACAAATGTATTTCATCTGATATTGTGATTAGACAATGGGACTAAATGAATGTAGACGATAACTGGAACGGTGAATAAGAATTAGTTAAATCAGTTAGCTCGAAAGTTAATATGAGTAGTTTTGTGGATGACATAAGGAGGGGAGATTTTTGTTTCTTGGATAAGAACAATTCACATAATATGAGAGATTGATTTTTAAGTTTAACTAGAAGAAAAATACCCAGCATCATTCCCAGTTATTTCACAAGTTATTCTAAAAGTTTTTTCTGAAAAGTTTGAAAATTAACAAATATTTGAGATGGATAATCTAGATTCAAACACGTATGTCGAAACCTACTGGTTATCTATTGAGAGTTAATGTATACACACGAAACAGCTATTTCATTTTGACTTCGGATTCATCAGATGTTCTGTGTTCATTGATCATTAGAGTTTTATAAATTAATACCAATTTGTTAAAATGAAATTAACTACAAATAACCAAAGCATTCGCGCAATCTTCCAAATTTTGCTCATTGATAGATGTTAGTTAACTGCTTGCAATTCTGAATACTTACCATTGTTTAGAGAAGACCACTCAGTTATAAAAACTCGATAAGATGCTGGAATAAAAACTGAATTCATTTCATTACGTTGAAGATTTCGTATGTTTTTCTGTTTCGAGAAAAAAACTTAGTAGCTTAGACCAATTCAGGTTTTCAACTGTGAAAATACTAAAGCCTCCACAAATCCTCAAACCGAAAATTTAATATTTTTATGGATATGATTTAACTTTCATTCTAACCGAACTGTCAAGTTTTGACACCAGCAACATTCGATATTTCTGATATGCATTCACTGGCTAAAGAAATATACATTAAAGGATATTTGCTTTTCCTCTAGTTCAAAGCTGTTTGTATAGAAAATAGTTTTCAAATTTAGTTGCCGAAAAAGGTACACAAAACTATCGTATAAATAAGATATTTGTTGCTGAGGTTAACATTACATTTTATTCACATGCCAACAGGATGATTAGTAATTCCCGACCAAAAGAATATTATATCGGAACAGACAATTTGGACAAAGGTCCACTAATTATACTACTATATAAACAGTAATATGAACCAAGCTTGCAAAAAAATTCATGTGTTATTCCCTAAGATATGATGATGGCGTTGACGAAGCAGTGTAAATCTCATGAAATATTCACAGCCAATGAAAAGTAAAGTTATTTAAGCAATAAAACCCGATAAAATCAATAAAAAACTAATTAAACGTGAATTTAAAATAGAATTTCTAGGCAGCTGTCAGACATACAATAGATGGATGAATTTGTCAACCTGTATAATGCACAACACATATTTAAGCTCGACATGAAATCGTCTAAATATAAATCCAAAGGTTATTTTTCAAACTGTCTTTTGTATTATCCATTTTTCTCAACAAATGACAACGACAAATTCGTAGCAAATACAAGAAAGTTAAAGCACATTCAACGGTTAAAGTGCAAAAAATTGGACTAGTAGCGAGTGTTAAAATGACTAATATACAGACGTTCTAAACGCTAATAATAATTATTATTTCTATTATTGTTAGTTCTAATAAAAGTTCGAACACTTATTCAGTAATCTACCAAATAATACATGCGAAATAACCTGCTAGTCATCACAAAGCCGAATGTCGATCTTCAACTTATCTAATTTCTTATCACTTCTTTAAATAATAAATCGTTGAATTACTTAATTTTATTTCACAGTATGTAGCAAACACCAACTTGATATTTTATGTCATATACAGACAATATACACGTCAAAATGTTCCTTATTCATATTCTATCTTTGCAAGAATATGTTCGTACAAGTAGCTTCAGTGTACAGATTATGTGATTCACAATAAGGGTGCGAGTAAACCATACAGAACAACAATCAAATACATACAAACAACCAGTTGGATCACAATGTTTTTTACAATGAGAACTCATTTACTGTTCTGTGTGATTCCATCTTATCCACTCTTGTATCCACCACATCGTTCTATTTCACTACTCAACTCACTGTGAAATGCAAGTGAAATAATTGTGCAAAGAGATAATGAAATATTAACCAGAATGTTGTGTCAGTCTATGTGGTTGAGTTTGTTCTTGTCTGTCATGGTTGGATTAGATAAAATAATTATTCATTAAACTTGATAAGATGAGGTGATTTGAGGAGATGGATTGGTGAGGCGAGGCTAGGCTAGGCTAGGCTAGGCTATTTTCATTACTTTAGTATATTATATATTGGAATGACATGAAAAGCCTTTAGGGGTTAAACCAAATATGCATTAAGTTCAATTCATATGAATCGAGTTTAAATAAAAAACACCATGCCTCTTCTCTCCCATATTTCTTTCTATCTGAGATTAATTCAATGTTTGTTTTTTATCACTCAGCTTGTGTTTTTTATGAATGAATGGACAGGTGATTGAACTTTAATCTTTTTTATTGTAAGGTTATTGCTTAATGTTTTTTATTTTGAAAATTTATTGGATTGCGTCATCCTCATCATCTTTTCATATTAGTTATTTTTTATTAGTAGATGAACAGGGGCACACCTGAATATATTCACCACAGATATGTTCACCTAGAGCGAATGAAAATATAAAAAAACATATAGGTGGTTCCTACTCGTTTTTTATCATCTAACACAGAGCAACATAAACTTATACAGCTGTAAAACCTACATCGATAATGACCTGATTTGCTAGCTACTTTTCGATAAACATGGATCCTGTCTGCCCGTCTGTCTATCTCTTCATCTTATGAAAAATTCAACCACATATGTCAAATCATTCAACTGTGAATTTCCGATAATATATCAAAAATTGCGACTTTATATTGAGGTGTTTTATTATCCAGATTGCAAAACGAATACTTTCATTCTCAAATCTTTCGAACAGTAATTTACAACGTGGCTATTTCTTGTCTTTATTTCCTCCAGTGGATGCCTCTTCGCTTCCCTCCAACTGGTCCCTTATTATTGCATGTATTGTAAGTGTGTGTGTGAGAGAGAGAGAGTGATTGAGTGAGTGTCTGTCAGTTTTAGTGTAGACGATATTTCAAATATTTGATTTTTTTAATTGTAGAAAGCAAGCTAGTGAGTGATTGCGTGACACACATTACATATTTTCTCACTATGTGAGTATGACTGGCTTGGTTTCATCACTCATGGTGGACGTTGGTGATTTGACGTTGATGGATATGAACGGAATGTGATGCATGGTCAGTAGGAAGACTCAGAATTTGATTAATGAATACGTGAGAATATCAGTAACACTGTCAAAATGATACGTGTGAAATACACTTCATTTCTGTTCAAATTTAGTAACTGTAATAGTGAAGACAGACGATCTGAAAAATATTCAAAATTATCTAGAGAGAATACACTCGATAATGATGACCAGAAAAGAAAAGAAAGGTGAGATGGAAAACTGAATAACGGATTTACATCTGTTGTCATTAATGCCGCTACTTGTAAAGTCTGGAAGACTTCTCAGGAAATATAGAGCAGTGTTACTCTTCAGCAAAGTGCATTTATTGCTCCAACATGAACTACAATCTCGAATAAAACTGGTCTCTGTCATCTTCATTGCCAGTATTCGTGGGTGCATAGCACCAAACCACATCTATTCTAATCTATCAATGACTACTAAATAAGATGTAATTATTTATTTATCTATTTGCAGAATAACATAAGATATCCGATAAAAATAATTTATTATTCTTGACTGTACTTAATTTGTGACAATGTTTTATTTGAGAAATTTGAAGTATTGTAAATAAATTAGTCGGTTGTAGTTGATGTTCTTAGTGAAAACAGAATGGATTGAAGACGTGTATACATTTCTCAAAATAAAATTTTTTAAAGAATTGTTTATGTTCAAATCACTATTCCTGAGTACAGATCGATCTCTGCTTATGTTAACTCTAACGCTGCATCAAAATGTTTAATTGAGAAAAATAACGAACAAAGTTTATTTATTACCTCTTTATTTAATATATATGTACACGTTTATCATCTCACAAGTAAATGGATATATATTTACACTTGGCGCTTTTTTCGTTATAGTTAGATATAAAAATACATACGTATACACTTTTAATAATTAGTTACTCTCATTTACAATAGTAATCATTATTTTTTTTATTATCGTTATCACAGATAAGCAAATAAGGAGAAATCCCAAAATTATGAATTTCTAGTTTTCTAATTCAATCAGCTGCTTGTATGATACTTTGATAACGTCTTGGTTGAATAGTCTAAAGCCACTGTATCGAATTCATTTGACAGAATTGTGCAACAATGACTGTTATTATTGTTATGATTATTAATACTAATGTTATGTGTTGTATTATTTGAATAATTATTAATTACATAATTAGGAGTTAGTCCATGTAACAAGTTACTATTGTAATGATAATTGTGAAGATGGTTATTTTGCAAACCTAAATTATAGTTAGATGATTGATAATTTGAATCTACTGTCCAATTACAGGAATTGTGTTGGGTAGTTGAGAAGTCTTGCTGCACTTGAGATAAAATACCCGACGGTTGTTGTGATAATGCTGATGCTGATTTTCATTCATTGAAATCATTTGATTGTATGGTTTTAATAAATTTGTATTAGTAGAAAATGTACATGTTAATGGTATGACAGGAGTATATTTTGTATTAAAATCGATAGGAATATTGTATGTTACGGGATTTTGTATATTCTGACTGTTTGATTGCATAGAATTTGTGCTGTTTATTGCTTTCATGTAGTAGTTATATAGTGATTGATATTTTCATATAACTGAGATAATTGGTTCTCTGGTAGATTGAATGCCGGAGGAACTGAGAAGACAGAAATGCTGTTGATGTGGAAGGCACCGAAAGGTTATTGATGGCAAGTGACTCATTCAAATTAGCGAAAATCGGATTTAGTAACTCAGGAATCTGATTTGTACGTTGTTTTGGTGCAGAAAATGCGGAATAATGCTGTTGCCCTTGGTATGTATTTGTTACCGGCGTCAAAATATTCAGTGAATTACTTAGCTCGGGTGGAAATATACCGTTCGATGTATCAAATTGCTGTGATGAATTATCCAATCCTAAAAAATTGTGTTTAGACTTTAATTTCCTAGATCGTGATACCGTACTTTTATTGTGTAGATTTGTACCTGATGTACTTGGTGAATTTATAAACGAATCTTTTGAAGTACTTGAAGGATATACTGAAGATATTTTACTCTTTGTTGTAGTTTCGTTTTCTATTAAATAAAGCAAAAGATTAATCGATCTTTGTCAGCATATTGTTTGAAACGATGATGAAAACTCATCACTGAGCCAAAAAACTTTCATGCAAAATTATATTTTCCTGATGTGTAATAATAATTGCTCGACTGTTTAGCATATATTATTGTAAATCAGCAAAGTATGACATAACTTATTCCAAAACTGCTTTTATAATTTAAGCAATACTATTTCAGTTTTAGTGTTCATTTCTCTGTAAATATTCAAAGAATCTTAGCGATTATAGGTTGGGCACTAAAACTAAGTTGGCTACCCATTATTTATTCTATTAAACCTACCAAAAATATTTCTCAATAATTCATATCTTCTGCTTAGTTAATTGAGACTCATAGATATATATTTGTTAAACAAGGTAATTCAAACAGTTCTAAGAATTAATTCCGGTGAAATCTTTTTTATTAAAATTTAAAAAATGTAGTTCTTGACGAATAGTTAAAACTACTGTTCTAATTTTAAAAAACCTTAGCGATAAGAGAACTGATTTATTTATATTGGTAACTTGAATCTCCTCACCGATATTTAGGACTACAATCAACGAATGAATTCAAACAACCAACACAAATAAATTAAAATTGACTTCATTGAAGAAGTGGCCATCTGAATCCAGTATTTACTGACGATTGAAGAGAAAGATACAGAATTCAAATCCCGGAGAGGACAATAAATCAGGGATTCTTTTACTTCGAAATAACGAGTCTCAACTAAGACGAAACGTGTGTCCTGGATTCTATTGCTTGCTACATCCATCTTTAATAAAAAAGCGAGTAGTTTGGTTTTTTAGAAATTTTTTTAACAAACATACATTAACCATAGACTTACTTTGGTGTGTACGCATATGTGTCTTCATTGAACTTTCTTGTGCATAACCCTTACCACATATAGTGCATATGTGTGGTTTACGTCCTAATAATGAAAATGTATAAGACATTATTTTAAATGTAACACTATAACTTTTTGATTTTATCTAAAAAAATATTAGCTAGTACTTAGTAATATATCAACATATAATTCTTATCTTAAAATAGGTCAGTTGCTATCCGAATAACTCGGTGGTATCATCTTGGACTGTGAAATTCGATGGCGGATGTTGAAATCACATTAATTCCTTCAAATTACTGTAGCGCCAGTTATCACTATTAAGCACGATACCTAGTCCTTGATGAACAACTCTAAAAGATCGACAGCTAAACTAATGACTCTTACTCGATAATATCATACAAAATTTGTCCTATTTTCACAAATAACAATTTAAGACAATTTATGTATTAATAAGTAAAACGAAATACCTAACTATTTATGAATATTATTCTTACCTGAGTGAGTAGTTTCATGTGATTTTAAATTACGTTCTGTGGCAAAACCTCGATCGCATAAATGACAACGGTAAGGCCATTTTCCGGTATGTGTATATTCATGTTTTCTTAAATCACCAGGAGTTACAAACGCTTTTGGACATTGACTGCAGACATGTCTACGTGTCTAAAATTGTTTTAAAATCCAGTAAATATACGAAACGAACATTATTTGTCAAAATATGTATCGATGACCTGATAGATAAATCACAAAAACATTATCTATTAATTGAAAGATATAAAACTTTATTAAACAGATTCGATTTAAACAATAGAATTGTCATAATATCAAATTCAGTAAAAGTACATGTATATAACAATATTTATTCGAGAGGGTAAGGCGTTATAAAAATTCAAAGCCATGTTACATCTATCGTATAGCTGCTCAATAATGAGGTGTTCGTCATAACTAATTGAGTAATACGTAAAAGAACATGTGTATAACAATATTTATTCGAGAGGGTAACGCGTTATAAAAATTCAAAGCCATGTTACATCTATCGTATAGCTGCTCAATAATGAGGTGTTCGTCATAACTAATTGAGTAATACGTATTACTTCGAACTAACTAGTCAAAAATCACATGATTTTGCAACATTATAAAATAATATGTAATCTTACTATCTAATTGTTGGCTCACATTAAATTTGTTCAATATCATTTGTTTTGTTGATAATTTTTAGATATGTCGTCAAAAGCTTTAATGCTTCATAATAAACTCATCATACAATAAGGTTAAATAATGTAAATGTGGATTTAAATACGACAAAATATAATGCCTATCGTTGACGAATATATTTTGGCCCTAATATTCATTACAAATAAAGAGAAAAAGAAAATTCCATGTATATATCTAAGAAAATGCAATTCATTTATATATAGTTAAAAGTATTAAAGGATTAATGGATTTAAGCAAACGTAACCTACATTTGTATGAGTATATTTATGAAATATGAGGTTGGAACCAGCTGCAAAACGTCTGCCGCATATGCGACATACATATGGTCTTTGCCCAGTATGTGTGCGTTCATGTGTATTTACGCCACTACGTGTTGAAAAGCCTTTGGAACAATATTTGCACTCAAAAGGACGTTCACCTGAAATAAAATAAAAACTCATTGAGATAAATTTCATATTGTCGATGATAAGGTTTTTATAGTCATATGAATAGTTAGATATATAATATATGGAATATTTTATTCAATAATAAAATTTTTCTTACTAACTGTTGATTGCTGACTACTTATTCTTTTAGATATGTTTTACAATAATCCACGGAATGTTGGAAATTCAGTCTTTTCATTCGGATACTACTACTTTAAAGACTCTCAACTTTAAACTATACCTTGTGAATATCTCTTCCTTAATTATATAACATTGTAGAATGAATATACTTCAATATACTTCATAACTGGGAAACCATAAATATGCTTACTGTAGGTCATTTAACTAAATGGAGAATTGTTAGTCAGACTTTATTCAAATCACTAATGTCTAATGCAATTATTTTCGATAGCACTACGCAGCTATACAAATCTGTTTAGTCCATTGAATTCTTACCTGTATGTGTTAGTGTATGACGTTTCAGTAAGGATGGACGATCAAACTGCTTATCACAGTGTTCACAAGTATGCATACGTCGTTGTCTCCTTCTACCACTAACAACTTCATTATTTCCAACTTTTATCAATGTGGATTTTACTGTTTGTGAAGTATCAATCAAATCAGCCACACATAAGTTTAACTTGACCGACTTATTCAAAAAAGAATGTTTGACTGGTTTTGTCGATTTTTTCTTGAATTGTTCATGATCCTTTGAACTTCTTTTACCAGATGTTTGATTATTGAGTGAATGACTGATTGTAGAATTCATTTGTTGTTGATCATAATATGTTGCTATTTTAGATGGTGATTTTTTTCCGGAATTTATTGATGTGTTGTCACATATTGTAAAATCAATACTGTTTATGCTACTATCATTTGATATTCTAATTTTTTCTTGAAGTTCTCTGTTTAATTTGTAACGTTTTATTTGTGTTGCTGGTGTCGATGTAGCATCAAGTTTGGACTTAGCTAAGGGTTTTGGCGTTTTATTCTGCAACGAAAACAATGTTTAAGGAATGGATATTTGAAATAACTTAATTCAGTTTATTTATTAATTTTTTTAATATTTCCAACTCAATTACTCACCATAGAAAGTCATAGAAGCAAATGTGAAAGTACTTTGATTTAAGTATAGTCGTGATGAGCACTCAACCCTATGTCGTATACTTTGTATCGAAAAAGATAGTGTTTCAACTTAGAAATAAAAAATTTCAAAAATGGCTCATCAACACATTAATTTTCGAACTATTCCTACCAACCTACTTGACTGTAATTCTTTAATTATCGACTTTCATCTGTGACTAGATGAAGTGATTTGATAAAATGGTTGAAGAACTGATTGCTATTGTTTCTTTCATCCAATTTCCAACGCAGGTAGGGTGGTATTGGTAGATCTTACTACACCAGTGTCACTCTAATATGACTACCACAACTATTAACTGGCCAGAGACAAAGAAATATTTAAATAATTTTTGTTATAGTTCTATGATATTATGATTTTTGATCTAATTTCTAGGTTGCATCCGTGATGAATTTACTCAGCTGAAACAACACACCATACAAGGATACATTGAACAGATGATACGCACAAATAAACACTTTATCAGTGTACCGTAAAACCCTCCTTGCAGAGATCAAATACAAAATTTTCTAGTTTCATAATAAACACTTAACTATTAAAACCATTGCGCATAGTGGTACAATTCGAACAACTGTATCACATCCTAAATGACTGAACTGCATCAGTTACGTCTCAACACATTATAGTTTGTTGATAAATTTTCGAAAATTTATATTTATCAGACAGCTAAACATACCTGTAATAATAATAAATCTTTATCTGATTCTGGGCTTGTATTGTTTGATGACGAACCGGATGATGTTTTAAAATACGTTGTACCAATACCACTATCTGTCGACATATTTTTGTGAAGAACAAAATAGAAAAAAACAGACTTTATGATACCATTAATACTTTTATCAATAAAAGTTGTTATCAACGATTATCATTATCATTATCATTAATATAGTATTATTTATTTGATTGCACATTTAATCAAGGATTAACAATTGAGTCTAAAAAGTATTTCAAGTTCGGTACTGTATTCCGAAAGAAATTCGTAAATGCATAACATACAAAATGTTGATACGTATAGAATAATTTGTACTATGGACATTTTGAATGCATTTTCCGGTCTTTGAAATAATAACAATAGTAACAATAAATGCTGAATAGTGAGATAGATCGGATTTAGTTCTGTAAATTCTTATCGCCATATAAAGACACATCAAGATCTTAAAATATTACTGCTCAATGAGTATGTAGTTATTTATGTATTCACTTTTAATAACTTTATCAGAATTCGCAAAAGAATGTCTTACCCTTCATCGAATCACCGATGCAATGTGAATATTCATCAAGTAAACTTTTGGATGGTTGTAATGATTCCTTATTACTTTCAGTGTCCATTGCGAATTGTTCAAAATCCAAAATGAAGAAATAAACCTCTGAGATAAAGAAAAATTAAATAAATTTCAAATGAATTCGGATATAAATTTTTAAAAATATTGTAGTAAAAAAATTATTTGAGAACTCGAGTAAATAATTTGAATAACTTACAGTTTCCCTTTCAAACTAAACCTTTTAACACTTTTAAGAGATTTAGGTGCAATAATGTACCCATTTCTGCAGGATGCATTTATACCAAAAGATAGTGATCAATTACTACATTACAGTCCATGCAAATCAATGCTAATAACGCTTAAATAAGTACATATTTTGATTGTTATCATTACGTTTTGTTCGTCTTTTTAATGTTACAACTTTTGCATATATAAATATATATATTTATTTAACCTACACGTCCAGCTTATCATTGGATCATGTATTAGATTTGCGAGTGCTGTAATTGTTTCGAACTATTTGTCAACGAATATGATGTCATCATTACATAATCTTCTTGCTTTAGATATAAATAAAAACTTAACTTTTATAAATCTTATTTACTTATTTTTATTATTTATTTATTCACAATGTTTGTTATTTTTATTATATTTTGAGACGATACATAGTTTTCTTAGCATTATTATATGAACATCATTGTTTGCTTTCTGCGACAGATTAAAAAAAACGAGATAACATTTGTTAATAATAATAATAATAATAATAATAATAATAATACTGAGACTAAGAATAATGGTAAAAGTAAATGAAACAATTGTGAATGTTTAAAATAAACTAATACGTAGATTAGTTTAATTTATAATAATATATAATTATTTGATTTTTTTGTATAACTTATAATAACGCAATGAAAACATCCTACTATTTTATTGAGATTAAATTAAAACTGTCATTTTCAATCTATTTTTACACTTATTACTTAATACCAATCGATAAGGGGATATGTACTCGTAAAGGAAATCTAATAGTTTCGTTAAAACAGTGATAATTTTTCAAATAATTACATTAGTTGACATTTTGAACTATAAGGAAGTTTTGGCTTCATTAACATTAATAATATTAGCAACATTATAAAAAAATAAATTCAAACTACTATAAGGTATTACAAATAATGTTTATGATGACCTTTTTTACTACCAACTAGGAAACCTTGGTATTTTATTTGTCAATTACGTATGTAAAAAAGTCACTAATTTATGCTTCAAGGAAATCATCACGAGAAAAAACGCATACTTGATTAATGCTCAATTATTAATCACTTCGTTACTAGGCCAATTAAATAACTCAATTTAAAATTTGTTGTAGTCTGACGTAATCATAACGAATATTTGAATATATGTCTGAATGATAATTCATTTAATCGTTACCACAATTTACCACGTTTCTCATCCTTAAAAATGAGCTGTAATCACATACTGTTTAAGCATAGAAAAAATAATTACCCAGTTGCCAGGTTCAATGGTGTTATTATTCGAACAAATATAAAAAAATTATATATTTTCGAAAAAAATTTACCATCGACTGGTACTAATTAGATTGCAATAACTATTATGCAATCATATATATATATTTCTTGATCAAGTAAAACATGTATTCGAAATTGTTCTTAAATTGGTACCAAGGTTAGCAAATGATTTAGCTTTTCTGAACAATTGATAAATTGTACATTAAAAAATTATCTAACACAAAAGTACCTCAGAAAAAGAATTAACAACCTCAAACCAGCAATAAGGTAGCTAAAATTAATGTTATTCACTGTATCTCAGTATATTTTCAACCATATTTTTTATGTCAATGCTATTTATTGAAAAATGTTTATTTAAAACCGACAAATAATACAGAAAATAGTATTTGTAATATATTTACCAAGTTCAGTTTCATCTACTATACTTCAATACATAGAGCATTTGCGAATTCTACGGACTATAACTTAATGCACATATCGAGTTCACGGTGGAACAACCAAACATCTAGCGACTCGGTTGAAATCGAATTATCTGTACAGTTAAGTTACCAATAAGTTTATTGAAAATTCATTAAAATAACGTATTATTTTCATGACATTTTCTATCTTAAATTTATGTGAGCCCACATGTTGTACATGCGTCTCACAAGGTTCAAATAGATAACCCTTATTTTGTTCAAGATATTTTACGTTGATTGCTATGAAATTGTTGACTTTTTTATTTTATTTCTATCACAACAGGGTTTCAACACCAGTCTTATGACACTTAATTACTAGACTTCACATAATTAAGTAACAAGAAATCACTAACAATTTCATAATCCATAATCCCAACAAAAAAATTAGTATGTCAAAAAATATATAATTTATCTCATTGATATTCGTGTATTCTCTGACAAACATCATCTGCTAACCAGTTTTATTTTGATGAATTTGATTCTGACAGTTCATATTACTCCATCTCTTTCCACATATGTTTGATAATCAACAGATTTTAGTTAGCGAATGCGAGAGGAAGTAGTAATGGTTACGCAAAAACGTTTTGACCTTGTGTGTCTGAAAAATTCAACCTACTGCGAAATATGTATTTGAGTAATGTGTAACGAAATAACTCCAAAATTTGTGTGATGAACTAATTGCACATGTGATTGATTCCATGTCACAAAATGACTAGGTTACAAACTATTAAAGATAGCTATCAGTGAAAGATAACATTGAACTTAAATGCCGTTAGTTGCATTCGTGTAGGGCAGTGATGAGTTAATCGAAATAAACGCCTGATTTACATGCTAGCATTCAGTAATATTTTAATGTCAAGCAACTTGTGAAAAATATATTAATTCATCAATTTGGTTACTGCATAAATTCTACAGGTCAATATTTGTTTATTTATATAACATCAATTGTAATTTAAATATCATGTCAACCAATTTATAATAAAAAAAACTAATAAACTACTTATAACATTGAAAGATAAAGAAATCAATGACCATATGTGTTTTATTCACAGTGCAACTACCTGATATTTATTCGTATGTTCTCACTAAGCCTTACCAAAATATATACATATATTTTTCTCAGTTTACAAAACATTTAATGGAGTGAAATTGTCAGTTGATTACTATGATTATGCTAATTGTTAGTCAAGAGTTGTGTTGGATACTGTTTAACTCACAACAATCTAATCAGCTGATTATGATAGAATTAATGTTGACAAAATAACTCCCCGAATTCATTATAGTCGATCACACCTGCTGTACAATGTCAGCAACATAGATACTCAATAAACAGTATAGATTTATTCTAAACAACTATCAATGATCATCACGTAACCGGTCGTTTATCGAGAATATGGCTTAGTCAACCTTATACGACGTATCCTATCTCTTCTCCCTACCCCTCCACATTTCTTAATTTCTCTCGAACACATAGATGCACATCGAAACTATGAGAGGTGTTGTGAGTGAGGACGGAAATATCAATTTTGTTTATACGATTTTGCACATAATGATTACATCATCTATTATTTAGTGTTTTCCAGCACTGATCATGGTCATTTCTCAGTTGAAGCATGATTCAATCTAAAAGTGTGCATCCACGGTATAATCATGACAAACTATACATTACTACCACTGCTACTACTATTACTACTACCACTACCACTACCTTAGTGTTTATTGACAATAGTGTTTTGATTACATAAACAATCCATATGTATACTATGTCCTATACACTGAAAACACATAACATTCGAAATTGATCATTAAGCTGAATTATCAGTTTATCTATTAACCAATTCACATATGAATAGATGGTGTTGTTGGTTACCACGGTGATTGTTGGCTGGTTGAGGTGTGGAACAAACGAAAAACTCAAGCTGATATGAAAGATTACATAAGAATGGTTAGATCACACATACACACTAATGTCTAATCAGAGTTAAATCGTTTCAATTAGAAGGTGAATTGATGATAAATTGCGAATAAGCGAACAAACAAAAAACAATAAGCTGAAATGTTTTATCCCATGTTTTTTCTATGCATATAAACACAGATATCTAATCATAATAATTTGCCTGTAATTAACATTTTAGTTAGTTCATGTGAGTGTCATCTATACCTAAGTAGCTTGATTGTCATTCGGTGTTACCTGGTACATTTTTACTAATACCGACACGCATTTTCCGACCGCCATCTTAGCAAAATCTTATGTATGATATACTGAAACAGGAAGTGGCCATACATACCAATATGGTTAAATGATAAAAAAATATGTTAAGTCACCCTATGAAACTTCAGTACATTCCTTTTAAAACAACACATTTCAAACGTAAACATTTACGCGAATAATTAGATGGCAATTAATCTAATTTTACAATCTAAGCCATTTTTTAGTTTGTTGTGATCTACTCTACCCAATATATGATAGCTACTTTTACTTTTATTTAGTGAATAGTTTTTTCGGATAGTTGAATTCGTTTGAGTGTGTCTGATAAATGTATATTTGCAGTTTAAACTAAGAAACAGTTCTACTGTTATCAACATTCCATTTAAACATAAGATGATGTAATAGACTAGAAATACCAAGAAAGTCATATATTTCATTTTATTAATCAATAGATCATAATTTCGCATAGGTGTGCTATGTATGTGCTATATATGTTCGATTTACTGTTTTTGTTTCTATCCTACTTTCGTTTCATTTATGTCGATATACTCTATTGTAATTTTCACCGACTGCTTTGAGTAGAACATAATGCTTTCGAAATATCACTGGAACATCGAAATTTTAAGTACCTAAACGTTTATATATATATCAGCAATTCTCATTACTTTCGTGAGACATCACAATGAGCAAATAGTAATATTTATCTTTTCAATGATTAGTTCATCTATGTCACTTCTAATTTTTTTATTTGTTAAATGAAATTCAATGACGACGTTAGAAATGTAGTTTTACTTAGACATATTCAAACTCAATATGTACCAAAGTCATCTCCTTCCTTATAATTATTAATCTGAACGATGTTGCTTGAAGTAATTTTGCTTATACGTGACAATTTTTAAACACAGTACTTGGAGCTATTTCGCAATACCAAAAAAATCAATAAATTCTAATTCAAACTGGGAAAATTTATCTATATATGGTAAATTATTTATATATAATTTGCAAACTATGGTTCATGTACCTGTACATTGTTTTAACAGAATATTTTATAGTTATAGTATCATCATTCTATGATTTTAAAATAGGTAATAATAGCAATGAGCTTAAATCTTCACGTTTAGTCATAAGTTGGTTTTTAAGTTTTGCATTAATATAAATTTTTAATACTCTCACAATCTTGGTACATTTTATATTTTCCTTACACACTACGTTGTTCTACTTGTGGTAATTAGAAAGCAATATACTTCAGTACTGTAGCTATACCGATAAATGGATATTGCTATATGTACACTATGCCGTTTTTATTATAAATCACACTAAAACAACATTAACATTATCAATAAGAAACTGTTAACTGAATAATAAAACTTACAGTTAAATTGATCGTTCAGTGAACTTGTATTGAACAAATAGAATAATGTTGCGTAGCGATATTTAGTGAATTTATTTCACAGTATGTATACAAATTGTAAGATTCAGGAGTCCAATACAGTAAGTAACACTCAATGAAAACTATGAGTACAATTAGTGCTTTCGAATTATTTATCCATTGTCCACCTCTCGAACTAGCAAATAAGCCGTGATATTTTTCTAACCCTAGAGGGGTGGTGGTAGTAGAATTGTTAATTTCTTATCTCGATAACTATGTCCATACCATAATTTTACAAAATTAGCCAATCGGATAATTATGCACAAATAAGCATAAATGGTGATTGATTGAATGTAAACTGATTAATCATTTTTCATCGTTTATTTAGCAGACATCGGATTGGTCAATTATGTCATTGAATTCATAATGTCCGAATACGCCAATCCATAATGATTCTTTTTCCGAAATTAAATTCAATAGTTATAACAAACGTTTGTATTAAAATTAGGAAAAGACAATTCCTTTTACTTACAAAATCATTAAAAGAAATAGAATAAAGATTAGATGCTGTTTCATTTGCACAGAATTTTTAAACTAGCCAAACAACAAAATAAATGCTAAGATATATTTTATAAAGATTATTAATCTTTAAAGATTCTCCAAAGACCCTCAGCATTTTTAGTTAGTATCTGTAGGAAATTGTCGGATGACATCATAGAATGTTCCCAATTAGCACGAAACGACTTTTCTAAATAGAGAATAACGTAACATTTATGTGCAGTTGAATGTGCCTTTCTTAGCAATTTTAATTTATTACGTATTTTGTACGCAGAATTATTTCCGAAATTTTAATTAGTGACATTACTTTCGGTTTTCCAGAAACAATTTGTACATTTAATAACACTTCACAAAACTTATTATTTATCATCCACTGCAGGAAATGTATATGAAAGTGAATATTGAATTGCTTGTAAATGTACTCTGTTTAATAGAAAAATTTAAAGGTGGTAATATATGTTTCCATAGGTATGAGTGGGTTAAATTGACAAAGAGCCCAAACTGTACGCTGTTATTTAATGGATTCATTCATATGTTCATTTTTCTCCGAAAGATAGTGATCATGATGAATATGAATTTCGTTGTCTAACATATTTGGGTGAACAATTGTGACAAACGAAATCTAGTATAATACTATATATGACCAAGTTTGCAATCTTGTAGATTTACATTAGATAGATAACTATATACTTACTACTTACAATTATGCTGCAGGTTTGAATAGTTTCAATCGATAACTTATTGAATAATCTCTGTAATATTTCAAAAAAGTTATTATTGATTAGTCACAAATAGTTTCACTTATGAATCATATCACATTTTTGATATGATGTACACTATGCATAATTGGATCTTAATTGGTTTCTTAAAGGTCATAAATATATGTGGAAGTATTCATAGAATTATTATTACCAATTGAATAAGACGTTCCAGTCAATTCACTGCTTCAGATATATGACCCCTATGCGAAAATTCTATGAGCAAATCCTATCATTCTTCAGTTATAAAATCGCTATTTTCCTGATTTACTAAGATAATAGATAGTAATAATACTGAAATATAATATTTAGGATTTTGTTGAATTTCGCCTATTCTGTACTGTCCACTGTTTATCTAACGGAAGAGATGCATCAACGTAAAGCATAGCTTCAGAAAAATCTGTTATTATGCTGTTCGCTTCATGAACATCAACCGGAATGACCACAATAATAAGAGCTTTCTCATTCATTAGTATAATCTGATAATAACAAAAAGAAACGATTACAAAAACACTTACTAAAAAAACAAAGACGTTATTTGGTAGAAAACTTACTAACCGATGTCATTACTACATATATGTACCAGTTCATTGTATCAAAGCATTAACATACTCAATGGAAATATTATTGAAAACCTACAGTAATAAACTAACCAAGAACTACGAGTTTTTTACATAAATAATTGATTTCCATCAACAGAATATAATTAGCTATTCAGCACACTCAAAAATTGAAGAATGTTTAAACTATCATAAGCAGAATGTATTGCTTTTCAATGAAAGAAGGATTTAAAGAAAATTTTAGATGAAGTCGTACGTTTACAAGATAAAATGGAATTCGCTTTCAACTCTAATTATTTTAAAGTTAGGTTACGATCCCTATGTATTGAATGCTCAATGGCTAAAATACACAAATTGAACTATTTTTCCATGAAAGCTAGTAGAATTATATATATTAATTCATGGTGAAATTAGTCGAGATGCTAAAATTTGTATTAAAAATATTTCCAGTAAAATAAAGCATAGGTCCTTACAAATCTAAACTGACTGAAAATAATAATAAGCCATAAGTTAAGTGATTTCGTATATTAGATGGTGGTTGGAGGTAGTCGACAGGAAACCCTGGACCCGGGTTTCGTGCTACTTGGCACTCGTCAACAAGGTCCACCTGTAACCTTGAGGGAACTGGTGCTCCCTGGCGGATTCGATCCCGTGTCATCCAGCTTCACAGTCAGAGACGTTACCACTGAGCTATCCCGGCCGCAATTGACCTCGTGTAGGACTGATATGTTGCAATGTGGCCACCATTCTAGGTGGTTCGACACTGCGGGCACTATATATTGAGATTAGATGATCGATAGCATTTGATCTGCACTAAATAAGGACTTGACACACGTGACGTTGATCACCACCCAGTGATCAATCAATTGTGATTTCGTATATCTCTGAACTTCGTTTGAATGTATATCCTATCTTTTTACTTGGTTATAGGTAGATATAATTTAGTTGCTAATTCGAATTTCATTCTAGTTTACTTTTGACATCAAGTTGCCTATGTATTACTGTACAAGACTATTGTTCCTCAAAGGGTTATTGCTCGTATCATCTATCACGAAGTTGTCACTGAATCATTCGGAGCGTGACTGAGTTCTTGTGGGAGTGAAGCTGTCCGACAAAGTAGGCGGGAGAGCACTTATTTGAAACATCAGTTCCTATTAGTTATTTTCAGCCACGTGACATCAATCGAAGTGGACAGTGACAGGAAATACCCAGGAATACTGACCAAATCACGTCTTCATAAATAGAGTTCTGTTTGTCTTAAAAGCTATTCTAGACGAAAAATATTTCTGAGTTCTTCATTTTGACCCAAAATCCTAAACTCATTAGAAGTTCATTTTCAAATGGTTTATTATTACGAGCACAAAAAATATAATTCGATAGGTGGAGTATGAATTTAAAAAGCTTTTAACAGTACATAGTTTTTATTTATTTAGGCTAAAATCTTTTCATTAACTAAATTTGTGATAAAGATAACTTCAATCTCTTCCGTTTATCATGATACATCATGATAAACATATACTCACACACAAAATACAGTCATCCATAACGAAACGCTAATATATATTATCTTCATCTTGATATCTGCAGAATGTTCACACATTTCTGCGTTATTCAATCTTCCTTCTGACATATTCAATACTTTCCTTACTATTTCTCACATCATAATGATGTGGTCTTTTGTTTTAATCGGGAAATAAGGAGATTATGATATCAATCTTTAAAACTTAGTCTTAAAAAAATGAACATTTTTAATCTGATGTAATAATAGTTATTATTGTTATTATTATTACGGTTATTGATATGTTATCTGGTATCAGTTTGAACAAAGATTCGAGATATAAGTGTTAACAATGAAGCTGTTTATTATGTCACCAAAACACCTTAGTTTATATCTTCGCTTTCTAATTTGAAATGACATAATACCAAAAATTGATAAATATATTAAATAATTGAGAAAAACTACTAGTTTTCCCAGTAAAAGCAAAGAAATTTTGTAAAAAACAATCCACTGTACATTCTTGATGACATTGTGTTGGTAGATAACAGAATAATTACTGATTACAATGCTATATTGATAGTTAAATTAGAATAACACCTGTGCAATTATTTATTAATAGTGCACAGATTAACGAGAAAATATTAAGCAACATAGTGTTTATATTTCAGTACTGAATACAATGCTTATTCTAGGCAGAGATGTATGGTGGCTAGCAAAAGAATCCAAAGCGCGTGTTTCATCATAGCTGGGACTCATCAGCTGGATATACCTGCGTCCCAGACTTGATGTTTACTCTGAGATTCCAACCCAGTACCGTTCTCTTCAAACGCCATCACGTTATCCACTTAGCTACCGAACTAGATAGCCACTAACTTGCACAATGAGTTGAAGTTTTAGTTCATTTTGTATTGTTTCTTTGAATCTTCTCATTGGTGTTTCTGATCGTAGTTGATCAGTCCATTATTCAAATATGTGAACGAAACGCGCGTCCTGGATTCCGCTACTAGTCAACAGCCAACTCTGCTTAGAATACCTGTGTCGTATGGCAATGTCGAAGCAGTATGCACACCAATAAGAGACTGATCAATTGCAGTTCTAAACAATAATGGGGAGATTCAAACAAACAATCCAGAAAATGCTTATTTTCTTTCATCTATGTTATCGACAAATATTCGTATTTTTCCAATGAGTAATAAGAAGGCAAATCAATCACCAAATACTTGTAGATGGTTTTATTCATAAACAGACATCAAATAGGTTAATATTAAATACTACGCGTTCACGGATATCGGCTCATCGGGTGAGGTCATCCCTCATAATCACACCGGATGATTGCAGCACTATAACTCGAATAGTCTGAAGTTATGAATTTAATATAATGAATTCCAACTCAGTACTTTATATGTTAGGCGAATAATACAAGGACTTGTGATCATCGTTACGATAGCTGTTGGGGGATATGAACTCAAAATTATTCATAGATAGACCAATAATAATTCGATGACATCAAATTCACAAGAGAAGAATCAGAAGGTAAAATCTCATTCTTGAATGTCTTAGTAAATGGAATAAGTATAAGAGCGTTGTAAATGTAAGTGAACAGGTCACACTTATTGAATACTTAATTACAACAGTAACAGTACAGCAATATACAAGAAGAATTATACAAAGATACTGTTGCAAACAGCCAGAAATCACTGTCGATGCACGAAAAATATTTACTCCAACAAATCTGTCGAAATGTCTGTTTAATTGATCAACCGTCACAAAATTAACCATCGAAACCAAGGGGCGTATACACTTCAATATGTGAAAAATTTATCAGAAATTACTATGGAGATTTAAAGTACTGAAAGTGGTAAGTTCACTCTATTCTATGTAAACCGAAAGACATAACAGTGAAAGAAATTAGACGCAACGGAACTCCTAAAATACGTTTACCAACTGCAAAGAGGACATTGTCTTCACTTGTACATACAAAAACACAAGCCATTACTGAAACAACACGATATATGATAGCCGAAATCAACGTACTTATACAACACTATGGGCATATATTCGACCGAGAAATTATCAAAACTTCAGATCATGAAAATTATGAGAATTCCTCGAAGTATAGGT